GCGCAGGTGGCTTCCAGTGTCTTGGCTTGGCACCTGCGTGGACAGCGAAGGCATTCCCAAGTGGCAACGCAGGAGAGTGAGCGGGGCTGGCAGGGACATGTACTCGAGAGGGGGCTGGCTGAGTTTGGGGGTGCTTGAGGCATATGCAGGTCAGTGGGCACACACACGCATTTAGGGATCAGGAGAAACGTCAAGATAAAGAAATAAATGAGTTAGTGCCAGGATGTGGGACCAAAAAGAGCTGGGAAGGCTAGACAGATTTTGCCTATTGGGTGGGGCAGTGATCTAAGGGAGTGCCTAGCAGGCAAACAGCCTGAGACAAGACATGGAGGGGGAGGAAAGCGGCACAAAAATTCAGAAAAGGTAATAATAGCATTGAGCTTAAGCACTGGTTGCCTTAGGGTAGTTGTGAGAGGCGTATCACAACTGAAGAGATACAGAGGCTTAGCCTCTGAAGTTACGCCGGGTGAGGTCGGTACACAATTCGGCAGGCAACAGGGAGCCACTGAAGGGTGTGGAGCAGGAGGGGTGTGATGAAGGCTACGTCTCAGCTTGAGCTAACCCAACAGCACATGACGAATTAAAATAAAGACCAAAACAGAGGAATATGAGGGCCAGGGATTGCCACTTCTTTGTTCATTCAACAAGCAGGCAGCCTCCTCTGTGCCAAAGCAACCTTTTTACCCAACCTAACATCTAGCCCCTCATCTGCTAAGGGTTCAGACACCCAACCACCTAGCGTTAATACTGCATGCAAAAAAAAAAAAAGAAAAGAAAAAGAAAAAAAAGAGTAACTGTAGGCTTCTACTAAACATTTCAGGATAATCAATAAATGTGAACGAGTTTAGGTCAGTCACCTCCTAAACGAAAAGGAGTTTTACACGTACATGCAGTGGAACACTATTCAGCCTTAAAAAGGAAAGAGATTCTGACACCTGCTACAACATGGATGAACCTGGAAGACATTGTGCTGAGTGAAAGAAACCAGACACAAAAATGAAGAGAGTTCTGGAGGTCTCCTCCTTGCACGACGTGAATGTACGTACTACTGCTGAACTGTGTACTTACAAATGGTTAAGGTGGCAAGTGTAAAGAGTATTTTATCACAATTAAAAATAGAGGTCATTTTTAAAAGGAGTTTCCAAATGGATCATAGAACAAAACCCAGCTCTAAAACAGAAACCACGCCTAAAATAGTCATTTGGAAACCTACAAATAAAGGAACGGGAAAGCTATACCAAGCAAATGTAAACAAAAAGCAAGCGTGGGCTGTGAGCTTGATAGAGGACAAGACAGAACTCAGACTCCAAGCACGGAGTGAGATGAAGACGAGAGAAGAGCCAGACTCTCTGGGCACCAGACAACCCAGCAGCAAGTCATCCAGCAGAAACTACAGGAAGTGCAAGAAGAAATACGAACGCTAGTCAGTCTCACACTCAACAAAAAGCCAAAAAATACAGAAAACCTAATATAAACTACATTTCCTGTGTACATATCAAAATTTGTACGCCCCCCCCGAGACTGTACCTTTTGGTGCACATCATGGAAACTGACCACGTATTAGAGCAAAAGAAACTGCAAAGCTTCGCTCAGTGGTTTCAATGGGCTAGAGGTAGGAGCACTTTGAAAACTAAAAAGGACCAAGCCAATGAGTTATTGGTGCCATCGACACTATTCCTGTCGTTATTGTCATTATTCACTGGTTCTCTTACAAGTTCTAGGGGAGTCTGCCAAACAGGTAGGAGGTGGAAATATGCAAATATAAACCTTTACCATCATCCCTTCAGTGTTCACCATGTGCTGCCTCCTGTGCAGCTTTCAACACACACCTTTATTAGAAATAGCTAATTGTTTTGTGAGAGTGAGCTTTCTGCTTCTATCACCCTCAGGGCCTGGAGCAGTGCATTTTGACTAAGTGGTGAAGACTTACGAACTGAAGTGCACTGATTAAGGACCTACTTCAAAGTCAGATCTGAGTTTCAAACTTCTGGCACTGACTAGCTGTGTGACCTTGGACAAGTTGAATGCCCATTCTGAATCTTGGTTTTCTCATACGTAAAGAGATAGGAGCAATACTTACACCAGCTGACACTGTTCAGTTTAACTCTAGTAAGTGTCCAGCATGGCACCTGCTCTAAGGTAGGCATTCAGTAAAGGTTAGTCTGAGGTTGAGGAAGAGTAGGTAAAACTCACCAAAACAGATAAACTTAGAATAGGGGTTCTTTTTTCTCAAAAAGCAAAAAAAATTATCTTTAAATAAAAACATCCTCCAATGCATGTAAAATGATTTTTTTTAAAGATTTATTTATTTGGGGGGAGTGGCGGGAGACAAAAGAGAGAGGAAGAAAGAGACCCAAGCAGACTCATGCATGGAGCCCACACGGAGCTCAATCCCACGACCCTGAGATCATGACCCGAGCCGAAACCAAGAGTCAGATACCCAAACCGACTGTGCCATTTTAAAATAATATTTAAATATCATTTTAAAAATGATATTTTTAAAAAATATCATAGGGGTAGCAGTGAAATAAGTTAAGGTACATTCATAGTATGGAATACCACACTGCAATGAAAAAGGGGTAAGTTGTATCTCCATGTTCACATATGAGCAGATGGCCATCATGTGTTGTTGGGTTAAAAAAAAAAAAAGCAAGCTTCAGAATATGAACAGAATAGTTCCCTTCCCTGCTTTTTAAAAATTATGTACGTATAAATGTCTGGAAGAATACACATCTAATCATTAAAGGGGAGTAAGATTGGGAACTTAACAAGAAGTCTTTTAACTTTTTATATTCCAGTTTCTTTCGTAACTTCTAACACACACAAACACACACACACACAAGCATGTAAAAAAGAAAAAAAACAGGACAAAAGTCTTTGAATTCTCTCTGGCCTGTATGTTTCATGGGACTTGGAAAGCTGGTGAGCTGAATGGAGGAGGTGGTTAATCCTTCTGGGGAGGGTAGGAATTCCCATCCCCAGCTTTTCCTTTTGAAAGAAGGAGGTTCAAGGAAGGAGAGAGGGAGAAGGCATTGCTCCAGCATTATTCATTACTCAGCAGATCCAAACAGGTAGTCTCATCCTGGTCCCTGCCACCACTGCAGCCCGACATAGAGGAACAGAGAAACTCTTTGATAAATGTCAACTGAAATAGAGCAATCAGCTGAAAGCCATTTGCTGAGCTGTCTGACTGCCCTGGGCTCGAGGTTTTCCTTTATTCATTTATCATGATATACAGCTTTGGCCAACATACACACAGGAGAGAAATTGTTGACATGTGGGACCCAAGTACAGAAAATCTTTCATTTTCCACCCCACCCCCCAACCCCGTCTGTTCACCAAATAAGTTTTTGTTTATTTAAAGACTACAGAGGATTTGGCTGTTAAGAACCAAATGCCTTTGGAGTGGAGTTACAACATAATTTATCATTTCCTCTGTTTATTAAAAAATCCTGCATCTTTGAGAAGCACATTTGCTGTGAGTGGGGGATTTCGGCCACTCACGAAAGACTGCCGCAATGCCCCGCCATGTGGCTTACCCCAAAAAAGGCTCCTTGATTGCTATGTCTATCCCTGTTCTTCCCCCAGCTGACTTCTGATCGTGTGATGGCTACTCAGGGCTGGTGAGTGGGGTTGGACTAAGGACAGGTAAGTGGGGGCGGAGACTAGGTTAGCTTCTTTCATTTTTGACCTGATTCTGACCTTGAACCCTCAATGGCTATATACACTGTGCTCTACCAGTACAAGCAGAGGGAGAAGAGCAGACCTCCCCCAAGGGACGGGATCTGAGAAGAGTCAGACAGCAAAGAGAAGCTGGATGCCGCTTCAAAGGAGTGAAGGCAGGCCCCGCAGCTGCCCAAGGAGGTTCCACTCTAAGGGCAGACATCTGGCAAAACTGGAATGAACTTCCGACCTTCCACTCAAGACATTTTGAATAACGACTCAGTCCAGCGTGCTGTGTATCCCTCAAAGACAGAGGTCACATCTTGCCCATTTTTGCAACCCCAGCACGTAGCACGGCACCTGACACGCAACTGGGGCTCACTAAATGTTCATGAAGGCTGCAGGATGCAGTGGGCAGAGCACAAGCTTTAGATCAGGCCTCAGTTTGAATCCCAGCTCTGCCACTTGCTAGCTATGTACCCTGGGCAAGAAATTTGACGTCTCTTGAGCTCCTCCCTCTCTGCAAAATGAGTCTGACAATGAATAATGAAACCCTCTATCACTTTACTAGGCTTATTACTTTGGGGAAGTTCTCTAATATTGTCAAGTCTCAGTCTTCCTATTTATAAAATGAAGATAATACACATCTCCTAAGTTTACCATGAAGATTAAAGATACTGCCTAGAATTGTATCTAGCTCTATATTATGAATGAGAAAATGAAAAGAGAAGAAAAGAGAATAAAAAAAAAAAAAGAATACTAGAGGAAAAAAACCTTACTTAACCCAGTACCCAAAGATAAGCCACAACAAACCACTTGTCTGTCAACAACAGGCAGGCTCTGGGGGAAAGGTATCTCATTACCAAGTAAATGTTGAGGACAAAGGCAATAGTGGAAAATGACAGAGTGGTGGTGTTGTGGTAACTGGAAAGAAAGGAAAAGAAGCCAGTATTTGTGAGCAGCTACTTTGTACGATTCATTTACAACACATCTGAATGCCTCCTATGTTCCAGGCATTATGTCAAGTTCTGAGGAAAATAAAGATATATAGACTAATTATCAAAAAGAATAGTGAAGGTTCAGTTAAAAGCCGTGGACAGCGCTGAGAGCCAATGATAGTAGTCCTAGGCTGGGGGAAAAGGGAAGACTTCCCAGAGGAGGTGATACCCAAGCTGAGACCTGAAGGATGAACAGGACTGGCCAGGTAGGTCAGCAGGGGCAGAATGGTCCAGGCAGAGGAAACAGCATGTGTGAGGATGACTCAGAGGCAAAAGTGTTGTTCTGGTGGCTTTACATACAGGTCCTTAGAGAATATGAATCCAGACTGACTCTATCCATTCCTTTGTGGTGGTTATTCTTTCCAATTTATTTTGATTTTATTGTTAGGTAAAAATGGGCCTCTAGCAAAGAGATCCAGTCACAGGTGAAGGCCCACATCAACCCAGAGTTCAAAGTTGGGGATGGGGCCCAACTAATTGAAAAGGAAGCTCTCGAGATGAGAAGCAGGCAGTGCTGAGCCTGCCAATAGTCCTAGTTGCTTGGCAATGTCATAATCAGGGCAAATGCCCTAAGTAGAGGCCATCCGTCACAGCGGATACCCTGAGGGCCACCCAAGGCAGAGGGCCAGAGGAGAATGGGGTGGACAGGGTAAAGGAGGAAGAGAATGCTCAAGTCTGGGTGTCCCACTAGAAGCTGAGCCTCATAAACACTGACAGCTGCATGGTGACAGCCTTCTGTGTGGACAGAGAAGAGAGGGGGCAATTTGCCACCCATGGGATCCACCAGAAACTGGGCTCTGGAGTACTGCTGCCCCGGGTGGACTCTCATCCAAGGAGTTCTTTGGTCTTCACTGCTAGATGCCTGTCCAGCTCTGCAACGGTGTCATCGGCCATTTGACTGATCTGCAGGAACACAAAATGAGACAGCCCGATGACTGGCGCTGGGGAAGGGTAGGGGGACAAACATTCCAAAACTATGGAAAAGTTATCTGGGAAATAGTGATGGTGACAGAAACTCACATTATTTAGTCCCAGCCAGGCACTGTGCTAAGAACTTTATATACACACTCTTACTGATTCCCAACAGTAGCCCCATGAGATAGATACTATCATTATCCCCATTTCAGAGATGAGGAAATTGAGGCAGTTAGATCACCTGTCAGGATACACAGCTGAAAGTAGCAATGACAAAATTTAATCCCCAGTAGTCTGATTCCACAGCCCCAAATTCTTAACTATTATTATAGAACACGGAGAAGCCAGCCTTATTGGTCACTTAATGACACTCTAGAATTTCCTACACCTCCGACACTCTGGTATATAAAGACTATTAAGATCCCAGTAATTAAGCAGGAAAAAAAAAAAAAGGCTTGAAAAAAGAAGAAATACATCTGGTTAACAAACATGGAAAATTCAACAGACACTGAAGAAATGCAAATTAAAACAAGATATAATTCTGTTATCGTAGTTAATAAAGTTTGATGTTGTAGCTTTTAATTACAATATTCAATGCCAGAAAGCTATGGTAAAATGGATAAGCTTATATATCAATGATAGGAATTCAAATTGATGCAAATGTCCACACCATTTTTTAACCCCCCAAATCTCTCAACTGGGAAATTACCACATGAATGGAATCTGAAAAAAATTTCTAAAGTTCCATATGCAAAGATATTTATCTAGGCTTTATTTTTTTTTAAGATTTATTTATTTATTTTAGAGACAGTGGGGAGGGGCAGAGGGAGAGAGAGTCTCAAGCAGACTCCACACCAAGTGTGGAGCCTGACACAGGGCTCAATCTCACGATCCTGAGATCACAACCCAAGCCCAAACCAATCACGACCGGAGCCGATACCAAGAGTCTGACGCTTAAACAACTTTGCCACCCAGATGTCCCATCTAGGGTTTATTTATTTATTTTTTTTAAGATTTTATTTATTTGACAGAGAGAGGCACAGTGAGAGAGGGAACACAAGCAGGGGGAGTGGGAGAGGGAGAAGCAGGCTTCCCGCTGAGCAGGGAACCCGATGCGGGGCTCGATCCCAGAACTCTGGGATCATGACCTGAGCCGAAGGCAGACGCTGAACCGACTGAGCCACCCAGGCGCTCCTAGGCTTTATTTTTAATAATGAAAAATCAGAAAATCTAAAGTGACAGAACAGGGAAGTAGCTGAATACATACATCCATTAAAAATGGTTAAGATTAAAAAAAATGGTTAAGATTATCTACTTTTTATGGAAAGGGTATAAATATGAGTAACATTCCAGCACATATTTCTGAAATGTTTGAATGTTTATAGCAAGTATGGATTGCTTTTGTAATCAGAAAAAAGGAAATAATGTTTAAGATATTCTTTATAATTTCATGGGAAAATGTTCATGTTATCTTTAAAGAAAAAGCAGGATACAAAATTGTGCATATACATAGTAGAAATGATCTCAAGTATGTAAAAAAATGCACATTTCTTAAAAATGGAAGGAAACATGTGAAAATACTAATGGTCTTTATCTTTTAGTGATGGGAAGATAGATAATATATTATTCATGTCCCTATCTGTCACATCTTGCAAAAGACCTAGTGTATAGCAAGTGCTCAGGGAATATTTACTAAATGAATAATTATCAAAGTTTTCTGTGCTTTTCTATATTTTCCAAATTTTCAAAAATAAACATGTACTAAAGGTGAGAAACAAAACGCAATACAATTTAATAAGTGTTGCAGCTTCCCTCCCACGTCTAAAAGGGACCAAAGGCAGGAAGCCTTGAAGTATGGTGCCCAGGATCCGTGTGCTCAGCGGTACAGTGGCCACTTGACATCTTTATTTGCAGACCACAGGCCTTGGCCAAGAACTAGGAACTAAATGCACTGGGAAGGGTAGTAACGAAAAAGGATTTGGAGCAATTGGTCCCCAGGCAGGGAGACAACCAGGCTCTCACCAAATCAACAGCTGCACATTTTACAGCCAAGGGAAAGCAGGGCTTTGGGGGCTGCTGGGCGTGCTGGAAGAGCGGCTGGGCTCAGAATGGCTGCTGGGTCCCTCCTCACTCAGTCACAGACTTTCAGATGCTGCCCCCCCACCCCCAGAGCAGCTGCCTTGCATGGTGGGTGGCATGATGCCCAGCAGCACTCACTCCAGCAAGCCTACTCTGGAAAAATGGCGCAAGGGCAGTTTGGGGACAAGAATGGGGACTGGGGAAGGAAAAGTACCTAGAGTAACAGTGTGATAATGTGGGTGCTGGGTTAAATTCTCAGTGGGGTGACAACGTGTAAGTCACTGAATCTCAGTTTCCTCATCTATCAAATGGGGATGCCGGTCCCTTCCTCAGAGAGTAGTTGTGCGAGTCGAACTTGTTCATGAATATGCAAGCACGGTTTAAACTGGTTATTTGCTATGCAAATGCTGCTTGTGCTACTCTGATTTTTACTATCACTTCCTGACTTCTTTTCAAATTAATCAATTAATGAAAATATTTACTAACTTTCTACCAAATTAGAGGCACAAAGTGCCCTTGGGGACAGTCTGCCTGCAAGTTCATCTTTTCCATCTTTATCAGACTTCTTACTTAAATAATGATGATTAACATGGGGCACCTGGGTGGCTCAGTTGGTTGAGCACCTGACTCGATTTTGGCTCAGGTCATGATCTCAGGGTCATGAGATCGAGCCCGGACTCAGGCTCTGCACTCAGCAGGGAGTCTGCTTGAGATTCTCTCTCTCCCTCTGCCCCTCCCCTGCTCGCACATGCACTCTCTCTCTCTCCCTCTAAAATAAATAAAAAACCTTTAAAAAATAATAAAATAAAACGATGATTAACAACAATGACAACAGCACCAATAATAGCTCCCTCTTACCGAGTATTACTAGGTGCCAGGCACTAGGCTAAAAACTTCATATGCATTATTTCACATAATCCTCAAAATCTATGAAATGCTGTTACTATGTCCCTTTAATACATTGTGAATACTTGACTATTTCACCTGACAGTTGCATAGTCGTACATGGTATGCAAAGGGGTTTTGTCCAAATCCAAAAACCACACATAACTTCTATAAGGCAGGTGAGACAGGTATTATCCCCATTTTACAGAGGAATAAACCAAGGGATAAATGTTAACTAATCTGCCCAAGGTCACGTTAAAAAGTCAGTGGTGTGACTGAGCAAGGAAGTTCACCCACCCCGACAGCCAGTTTGGTGCTGCTACCCGCTGTGAGGCGCCCCCAGCACCTGGCCCTGTCCTTCCTCACCCCAGGCAAGCTGTGTGGGGGTCATTCCAACCGTCAATCCTAGCCCCGAATTCAGTCAGAGAAGGGTGGGGAAAGCAATGGGACGGACAAAGAGGGTGAACAATTACTGAGGACTGGCAACCACACCAGCCACTTTAAAGTATGTTTGTCATCTGGTCCTCTCAGCAAACCTGTGAGATAAGCACCCCTCCTCCCACTTTTCAGATGAGGAGACACAAGCTCAAAAAGGTGAAGCCATTTGCTAAGCTTTGCAGCCACGAAGTGAAAGAACTGGGATCTGCACCAGTCAGGCCTGCCTGCCTCCACAGCAAGAGCCCTTTCCATTTTAATCCACTGCCTCATAAAGACCATATCATCATGGTCGTCATCCTCACATCTGCTCCCTTCTCGTTCAGGAAAGTGGGAGGTGGAGCCAGGACAGGGGAAGGCAGGAGCACACGGTGCAGGGCTGGGGCAGGCGGGTAGCAAGCCAGCCTCCCAGAGGCCTGGCTCAGAACACCCACTGCCTCACCCAGGCCGGCCTCCCTGCCTGCTTGCCTGGCCTCCAGGAGCCCCTCCCTCCTTCAGCCTGCTCGCACCCAGCTTCACTTCAGAGCAGCACTGTTGCTCAGAATAAGGCGGCAGTGAAAGGATCTTGGCCAGATTTACTGGTGGTTTCTGCCAAGCGCCTTAATGCTCAGCAGGCCCATTTACAGTAAACTGAAGCAAAGGTGAAACAGCAGGCTGGCAGATGTCAGAGTCCCGAGTGGGTAGGCCCCGGTCCTTCTTCAGCTGAGCTGGTCTGGGCCGCGGGTTGGGAAGCTGGGTGTGTGTGTGGCGGGGGGGGTGTCAGACGTGACTATAGGGATAGAACCTATAACTCAAGCCCTTCATTTTTATACACCAAAGAAGAAACATTTTTATAATATAGTTTTTAAAAAATCTGACCTCAAAAGAATTTTGGAACATTAAAAAAAAATCCCACAAAGAATAATACTGAAATTGTTCATAATCCCATTGCCTGAAATGACTAGCATTAATGACCACCATTCTCAAGTGGTTAAGTTGCCAATCTTTTTTTTTTAAGATTTTATTTTTAAGTAACATCTACAACCAATGTGGGGCTTAAACTCACAACCCCAAGATCAAGAGCCACATGCTCTACTGACTGAGCCAGCCAGGTACTCCTAAGCTGCCAATCCTTTTATGTACATGAAAATTTTCATTATAAAAATGGAATCATATTACAATACTGTTGTGTAACCTACCTTAAAAAAATAAATTCCAAAAGAAACTTACTATGTCTGCAAAATATTTTTTTAAAGATTTTATTTATTTGCGAGAGAGAGAGGGCGAGCGAGCATGAGTGGGGGGCAGAAGGAGAGGGAGAAGCAGACTCCCTCTGAGCAGGGAGCCGGACATGGGGCTCAATCCCAGGACCGCTGAATCATAACCTAAGCCGAAGGCAGATGCTTAACCAACTGAGCCACCCAGGTGCCTCTGCAAAATATTTTTTTTAAAGATTTGAGAGAGAAAGAGAGTGCAGAGCCCAACTCAGGGCTCGACCTCACAACCCTCAGATCACGACCTGAGCCAAAACCAAGAATTGAACGCTTAATTGAGTATGCGACCCAGGCGCTCCTGCAAAATATTTTTATAACTGTCTCTAAATAGATCCCAGTAAATGGAGGTAATAACAATTTATTTTCCCACTGTCAGAAATTTAGACAGTTTCTAATTTTCTACTATGATATATAATACATTAACAGACACCTCTGTAGGTAAGATTGTTGACAATTTATTTTGGATAAATTCTTAAGCCTCTGAGACAAAAATGTATGGATTTTGGTATACACTGCTATATTATCCTTTAGGAAGGTTGTATAGGTTTATACAAAAAATAATCTTTTCTGTGGAGTGTAGAAGTAAAAGCAATACTTCCAAGATCAGCAGCATTTCAAGCTCACATTAAAAATTCTGGGTTCAAATGTTGGGGATTAAAAAAGGCAAAATTTTAAAAAATACACATATTCTAAAACCCTTGCAAGTGATTTAGGCAGTACATACCAAGAATCTTAAGAATATGCATTCCCCTTGTGCAATAATTTCACAGTTGGGACTCTATCCTAGGGAAATCATCCCAACAAAGATTTATGTATAAAAATATTCCCTGCAACCTTATTTATAACAAAAAAGTTTAAACAAACTAAATGTCCAACAAGAGGCTTATGAAAGTGAATTATGGTATAAACCACAAGACAGACTATTTTGTAACCATCAGAAATGGCTGTTTACAGACACTTTTCTAAGACACGAGAAAATGCTAATAGTTTTAATGCTAAACAGAAAATAAAAAGCCAAGTACAAAACCATATGCATACTACATATTCAGGCATGTTAAAAACTATGTAGTTAAAAAAAAAGAAGGAAAGCAGAAATACTCCAAAATGTTAAGAGCAGTTGCTTCTGCAATGTGGGTTTATGGTGTGAATTTTTCCCCATTTTTTTAAAACAGTCTTCTGAACTCTCCACGTTTTCTACAGTGAGCATATATTACTTGGATAATCAAGAACAAAGTAAACATATACATTTTAAAAAACTCTAATAAAACAACAATCAGCCCCCTGCCTTGCTTATTTAAAAAACAAAAACAAAAACCACATACCCAAAACTCCAGCTTAGTGCCTTCTGTCAGGGAAAAAGAACAAAATAAAGTGACACCTGGACCCTTGTGCTGGGTCTGTCTCCTGAAGATTTTCTCCCTCCACTTTTAACCATATGACAATAAAGGCACTTGTTAACAGTAATGGTAAGAACTCATCTTCAAATGATAATATCTTAAATAATAAAGATTATTGCACTGGGTATGTTATGTACATACACTGTGATCTATTCTCTTGTAATATTACACATGTCCTCACAGAGAGAGCATGCAGGTCTGCACTAGAATGTTAACAATGGTCATCTCTGGGTGATGAAAATTTCAATTACTTCCTTCTTAATTAAAAAAAAATTGACATAACATGTATAGCTTAGTATCAGAAAAAAACTAATAAAGTTATTTTCATTTTGAAAAATAATTAACAGTCAACAGAAATAAGCATTAAAGAAACGAATCTAATCTGAAGAGGAAGGTGAAAAGCGAGGTGCTAATGTGAAGGCTTCTAGCAACGTCTTCGTCAAGTGGGTTTGATCAAGAGTACTACTTATCCGATCATTCTTCCCTTTTCGGGGAACGTGGGCTCTGGTCCCTGAGGCAGTGGCCCAGTCTTGCTGAGTGAGGAGTGCCTGGCACTTTCCCGTGGTCCATGGGCTTACCACAAAGAAGCAAGGGAAAGGTCAAGTGTTGGCTGCAGAGACGGAATCTCCTGGGGATGGACAAGGAGCTGGCCCAGCTAGGGCCAAGGACAGACTCCTACAAGGCCTGACTGGTGCTCAGAAAAGGCCAGCCTAATCTAGGAACCTCTTTTAGCTGATGCAGGGCAAGAGGAGGGTTCAAGGAAGGCAAGAAGGGAACTCTGAGGGTCCAGGTGTCAGGCAATGCCTGACATGCCTCTAGCATGTCCAGGGCAACCCTTTACGGTAGGAATTACAAATCCCTTTTTACAGAAGGAGTCAAGTAATGTCCCCAAGGTCACAGGACATCATGTGCAGAACTAGCCCGATCTAACTCTGGTACCATCACAGGGATACAACGTAAGGCTTCTAGGTCCTTAATTACCAACTGTGTCTGCTTTTGCAGAATTATCCGGGGAGTTTTTTAAAGGTATACATTCCTGGGCGCCTGGGTGGCTCAGTTGGTAAGCGACTGCCTTCAGCTCAGGTCATGATCCTGGAGTCCCGGGATCGAGTCCCACATCACGCTCCCTGCTCAGCGAGGAGCCTGCTTCTCCCTCTAACCCTCCCCCCTCTCATGTACTCTCTCTCTCTCATTCTCGCTCTCTCAAATAATCTTTAAAAAAAAAATAAAAATAAAAATACACATTCCTAGGGAGACCTACTAAAAATCAGTAAATGCAGGAGCAGAGCCCAGGCATCCATCTAAATTTTTTTCCTAGGTGATTGTTAGGGCTGGCCCACAAATGGCATTCTGACTGCTGGTCTAGGAGAAGGGGAGCAGTTGGTTAATTTACGGCTTCCTCCAGACGTCCCTCTAACAGCGCTCACGCTCCCTGCCTCTAGCCTCTTCCCTCCTTAAGCCCCATCCTGCCCACACTCATGTTCAATCTTCCTAAAATAATGCTTTCGTGGTGGATGCAGAGGCTTTGGGCAAGCCCTTTATATTATGCTAAACACTATTCTATCTCCTAAATACTGGTAAATTCATCTTCCTATCTTAATTCCACTGGTATCTCTCAGCTTCAGGCTACCATTTCCTGGATGGATTTCCGCAACAGCCTCCCTGGCCTCCCTGCCTCCACTCTTGATCCTTACAATCTGTTTTCTACCCAGCCACCATAATCATCGTTCATAAACACAGATGTGATCTCCCCAGTGTCTGGGAAAAAAATCTTTCCAGGAACTTACTGTATCAGAATCACGTGGGGAGCATTTAAAAATGCAGATCTGCAGGCCCCACCCCAGACTCACTGACTCAATCTCTGGGCGTGGGGTCCCAGAAACCTGTATTTTTATAAGCTCCTTAAGTGACTGTGATGCTGTGGCAGATTCGATTATTGTTCAAAAATTTTCATACCCTCCTCTAGACCTCCACAAACATATATATTTCTCTGTCCCGGTGATACTGGGCTTGGCCTGTGTGATCTGCTTGGCCAGTGGGATGTACCAAGAGCAGGTGCTTCAAATGTACTTGAATGGTTGGGCTTATGCTCTTGGCATCTGTTGTTGAAAAGATGTCCTCGGGGGAAGCCTGGGTGGCTTAGTCGGTTAAGAGTCTGGCTTTGGCTTGGGTCATGATCCCAGCGTGCTGGGATCGAGTCCCGCGTCGGGCTCTTTGCTCAGCGGGGAGCCTGCTTCTTCCTCGGCCTGCCGCTCCCCCTGTTTGTGCTCTCTCTCTCTACCTCTGTCAAATAAATAAATAAAATCTTAAAAAAAAAAAAAAGAAAGAAAGAAAAAAGAAAAGATGTCCTGGGTCGCTTGTTGACTCCAGAAGACTGAGAGAGAGACAAAGCAGACCTGAACCCAATCCAACATCTGGAGCCAAGCCCCCTGAGCCCAGCCTAGAAGAGCGACTCCCAGCTGACCCACAGAAATGAGACTAAGAAATAAAACCTGATACTGTAAATCACTGAGTTGTGAGGTGGTCTGTCATGCAGCATTATCGTGGCCACAGACGACTGACAGAGCTACACAGCCAGTGTGGGAGTGTCTGCACAGGCTGGAGATCAAGCTGCTCAGCCTGGTCTCCAAGCCCTGCTCTCACCAACCCGGCTGGCTGCTGTGTCTATCCACTCCCCTGCCTCAGCCATTTTCACGCGGCAATTACCCACCCGCATAACATTCTTTTACACAGCACACCTCTGAATGTGTTATTCTACCTGCCCCCAGTCTCTCACTATTTCACTGCAGTTTGTTCAAGTGCTACCACTCAGCGCAGTAAGAACACTGCTAAGGCCTCATCTGCCAGCACCCAGACAAGCCACCACACACACGAGGGCATCGGCACCCAGGCTCTGAAGTTAGTCTGCCTGTGTTGGGATCCATTTCTAATTGACCAGCATGTGACTCTGAGCAAGTTATTTAGCTGCTCTGAACCTCAGTTTCCTCAGGACCTCCTTCACAACTCTGCAGCAACAAGGATAAATGAAATGATAGAAAGTGTTCAGCATGGAGCCTGGAACCCAGCGAAGAGCCAACAGCATCTTCTCTTCCTCCACATTCCCAGGGCTAAGCCCAGAACAGAGACTCATCCAATCCTCATCATGTCAAGGAAAGAATCAGGGATATTCTGTTTTAATTTTCCTCTCTTCAGACATGAACAGATGGTTCCCTGGGTCAGACACACAAGTACTACATCTGTTGGCAACAGTACCTGTTTCTCTATGAGCCTAATGGTGTCCTCCGAGACTTTGTCCTTTGATTTCTTCAGCTTATTCATTGCATTGGTACGAACTTTCCGTAAGGAATCCTTGGCCTTGTTGGTGTTCTGTTTGGCCAGTTTCACCAGCATTTCCCTGTGCTCCCTGGTTACTCTGATTAAGAAAAGAAACAAACAAACAAAAACATTCAACAAAATCATCCCACACATTAGCTGCTAGCTGAGAATTTAACATCACTCCGTCCACTAGCTTAGCAGTCAGTAGCTCTGCTCTCCATCGGTGATGATCTTTATGGTCCTGAAGCATGCCCAGGGGTGTGCTTGGGGCCAAGTGAAGTTCCTGGTGAGTTAGGTGAGGAGAACCAGCAAGAGGACTGCTGAAAAGCTTGGGCCAGTGCGTCCTGGCCACACCTGGCCAGTTCCTGCGTGCGTAACTGACTTGTCTCCTCAGAGTTCCCATCTGTAAAATGTGGTAAGGTGATTAAGAGGCAGTGCATGTAAACTGTTTAGCGCTGACCCTGGCCCATATTTAGAGCTCAATGAAAGGAACCAATTGTTAGCTCTAACTCTACCCCCTTCTCCCACTAAAGCACAAACGAGTGGATGATGCTACAGAAATTGCTCCGTTCAATCTCTAAATCACCCAAAACAAGTAGCAATCTTCAGAATCTTACTAATTATTATAGCAAATTACTTATGAATCACCTCAAGACTGACTAAGACACAACCTGAGTGCCAACATGTGAGAACTGCTGCTGCACCAGTTAACTTCCACAAAGAAGCCACGAGAGGGTCTGGCACGTGTCAGTGCTTACTGAATGTCAGCGTTTCCACTGTTCCCTTCCCCATCATAGCACCACCACGAGCACAAGGAGGGCCTCCTACAAACCCCTGGCACAAGCACCTTCTAAGCTGGCCCTTACCACTACACAAGGCACTTACTTTATTATTTTACCTTTACTCATCACAACAACCCAGCAAAGTAACCCCGCGAGTTGGCTCCGCCCTTGTTTCTTCGTCCTCTACACAGTGAGGGCTACTCACCTACCACAACCAGGGCTGGGCACGAGGGTACTATGGTGAACACTGACTGAGCTTGGTTCGGCTCTTAGGGAGCTCAGCCAGGGAGAGAGGTGAGTAAAGACACACAACAGGAGTGTGGGACGTGCCGTGGCAAGGGAAGCGAAGTGCAAGGTGCCATAGGAGCACTAAAGCAGCTCCCCTAACTCGCCAGGAACTGTCCGAGCTCGGGCAGGCGGCAAGTAGGGGAGACTCTCCTGAAAAAATAATCCCTAAATGCGGGAGTGTTTGGGTCTGCTCACTAGTGTTCTGGTTCTTATTCTTTCCAGTAAGAAGGCATTTTTTCCTCTCCCCTCTAAGGTCTGGTGTGGCACAACGACTTGCACTGGTCAATGAAATGTGAGCAGAAATGAGGGGGGTCACCTCGGGGCAGGAGCGTTATTAGGAGCCAGTGTGGGCTCCGCCACATTTGTTTCTGTTGGCTGCAATACAAGCGGAGATGGGGCGCCCATCAGCGTGGGTCCCAGAGCGACCACGATCAACAGCGCCCATCAGAAGCCACGGAGACTTGGGGGTTGCCTGTTACCACAGCATAACCCACCTGTCCTGACTAATACACACACTAGGATCTGAAGAATGAGTGCAGGTTGCCCATGCTGGCATGGCAAGGGGGGCTTCCAGGAGGAAGAAAGAGCACGTACAAAGGCTTTAAGCTGTAAAGAGACGATGTTTCATTTGAGGAATTACTGGAGCATGGATAACAAGAGAGTGACAAGAAAAGAGGCTGGAAAGCCCTATCATGGAGGGTCTTGCAAGATCCTGAGCCCCATTTTACAGATGAAGAAAATGAAGCCCAAGAAGTTTGGGCCAAACCCAGGCTGACCTGTCTCAAATGGCAATATTCTTAGTATGACAAAATTCCCCTGCCCCCTGGGTCCTGAAATGGACATCACTGGCATATGGTTCCTGACCCTCAAATCAGTGTGGCTCTTACTTGGTAAGGACAAGCCCACGTTCTGGGTATATGTTCCATGTGAAGCAGTGGCAAGCAGGTGTTAAAAGATTTAGTGGCATCTACCTGCTATTTTTCTCCCTGACAGGATGAGAAAAAAAATTAAAGAATCTTGAGAAAAAATGAGCTCTGAAGACAAAGCGGACGGCTGCATTATAAATCAATCCTTCTGGATTCAGCTATTTGAAGGTATTCTCGAAATAGAAATGATCCTGATTACTGCCATTATTAAGCCCATCTCTGCCAGGTGAGTACTGTGAGTACTGTACCTCACAGACCCTCGCAACAACTCTTCCAGCTAGATTCTCATCCCCCCATTTTCCAATGTGGAAATTGAGGCTCACAGATGTTAAGCAACTTGCACATGGGCCTGACAGGCCTGGGATTCAAATCCAGATCTCTCTGGCCTGTGTGCTTTCCCCTCCTCTGTGCTGCCCACCCTTTGTAATCTATTTCAAATAAATTATGTACTGCTGCCATTGCTGCTGCTTCCAGGCAGAAAGCTTTTCAAAGTCAGTAATATGAATCTTGGGACTGAAAAGGACAAAACCACCATGTCAGGAGTTTAGGGATTTGGGTCAGATCTTGTTACTTTTATGGTTTTTAATTCATTGAACAAAAATCATGCTGACATGTTTAGGTCTCTTTTTTGTTCTGCCAAAGCATATGTCAGTATAAGGAAGGAACAGGAAAATTAAAACTTGATCCACTGATTCAAAAAACTTAATCCTGCTGAAATACTAGGAGGGGCAGAAAATAAATGAATCTAAGTCTGTAAAAAACCTCTTAAACTTCTCTAAAGAGAGCTATTTCAATCTTATATTTCATATATAATTTGAAATAGACATTCCACTGTTTAGACAACCTTTAATAAGATAAAAAAATTTTATCTAACAAACTTCCTTTTCACTACATTATTACATTTACATTTTACATGAAGAAAAAACCGTATCTTTTAAAAAATATATACATTGGGACTCAAAGAAATCTTAGGAGTAAAAGGCTGTATAAAGAAAACAAAATCAAAATATATGTAATTTGGCTTTAATACAACATATTATTTTGTATTTATTAATATAAAGGTGACATTAGTATACTATTAACACTAGTTTCCACACATAATAGTATCCAATTATTGACAGTGACAAAAACATTTCAGTTTCAGGATGCAAGTACAGAGGCAATAATCTAAGGAAATGGAGAGCAGAATGCGGGGGTGGGGGCAGGCACAGGGAGGGCTGAGGGGAAGGGAATATGCATGCTGGTTCAGGGTGTTGGGCTGAAAGGTATCTCAAAAACAAGTTCAGAAGCAGCTGCGGTGATGGAAAGGCACTGGTATGAAGTCAGCCAGACCTGTTGCATTCCTATGTCTATTACTCAGAAGCTGATTCCTCATTTCTAAAATGAAGACAATAAAAACACCTCACAGGGTGACGGGGAGAAGCAGACACAACACATACATAAAGTACCAATAAAGAACAGCATATAGTAGCCTTGAATAAATGATAACAATTATGAATGTTTTAATCAAATACACCTAATTACTTCCTCATGAAACGACGAGGGCACATCTGTTTTAGAAAAGAAACATACTATATTATGGAAATATTTTAATTCCTTTCCAAACCAGTGATTAATACATCTGATCATCTCCGTCTCGCATTCATGGGGTTCTCTGAGTACACGCTAGTTTGTTCTCAGGCTTCTGCACTCAGCTGGTTGGTTCTGAGCACCCGCCTCTGCGCTTGGTGTGCTTTCATTCATCAAGCACTGGCTGAGGCCGCTGAGTTCTGTGCCAGATCCTGGGCCAGGCTGAGGAGCTCCAGAGAGAAGGCAGGCCTGGTCTAACTTCCCCAGAGGCTCAGCCCAGTGGTGGGAGACAAACTCAGCAGCCACTACTTAGAAAGAGCAAGAGTGCCTCTAGGGCAGAGGGATGGGCCTTCTGCAGGAGGAGCAAGCAGAAAAGTACAACTCATTCTGCCTCTAGATCTGGAAAATGCCTTAGAAGCATTTTGGTCCACTGAAGAAGCATTTGGTCCGCTGAAATGCCCGGAGAGGGCATTTCAGGAAGAAGCACGGTGGGAGATCTAATGGCAGGAGGGCAGGAGGCTGCAAAGGTCAAATTTGTTCTGCAGGCCTGGAGTTTTCAAATTCTTCTTTAGCCACAAAACTCTGGCTTTAAAGAAAACCATGGCAGATGCTCCATTTATAAATGTATAAAACAAATGAAAAGAGAGCTCTTCCAGTTAAGGGGAAGGGCACTTGGGGAGGGGTGGTGCTCTATCCTGGGCTTACAAAGTGTAGTCCACCCTGACTCCCCTCTACTTCTGGGCCTACCACTAGCTGGCTGAGGGACCTCAAGCAAGTTGTTTAAACTCTTTGGGCCTTGGTCTTCTCATCTGGAAATAGAAATGAAAATCAAACAAACGAAAAAACCCCAGCATCTACCTTTCAGAGTTCTTGTGAGGATTCCATGAGAGACTAGGTGGAGTGTACACAGTACAAAAGCCTGGTAGAGCATAAGCAATCAGAGAGTGTTAGTTGCCTTTGCTGCTGCTGTTTATGTGTTGGCACTCACTGAGGCATCTTCAAGTAATGAAGAGTTTATTCTTGGAGGTTTTGATCAACAGAGAAATGACAGGGCAAACAATCGAAGCTTCAGCCAGATGACTTTTTGAGATCCTACTAGGAACTTAACACCTCGTGTACATTTTACAATCCAAATGCTCCCAGCATGAAGCCCTGAGATTGTCTCTTTTCGGTACTAATTCATTCATTTAATTTGTAGTTTCATTAACAGCTGTTTACTGGGCACATATTATGTGCCAGCCCCGATGCCAGCCATGAGAGATGTAGCATTAAACACATGAGTCTACTGTCTAGCAACGGAGGCAGTCATTAAACAAACATATGCACAATTGATCAATAAGTTACAGTTCTAATAAGCACAATAAAGACATACAGAGTTCTATGAAAATAATTAGCAGGGGAGGGGAGTCTGACTGAGGTCCCCTGTGGGACTCTAGGAACAAAATGTGGGGACATTTAAACTAATGATATTTAAATTAAGATGTGTAAGAGTGGTGGGGTGCCTGGGTGGCTCAATTGGTTAAGCGTCAGCC